TCCACGCGGGCGGGCGGGCGGGCGGGGCGGGGCCTGCGGTGGGGTGATTTTCAAAAGTCCGCACCTCACGGGGCGGGGCCGCGCCTTAACCCCCGCGGCGCCGGAGCGAGTCCGGCCGCGGGAAGCGGAGCTCGCACCGGCCATGTGAACCGTAACCGCTGAAACCTTCCGTTACCGAGTGCGCGCGCGCGCGCGTGCGTGGGGGTGTGTGTGTGTGTGGTGTGTGGTGTGTGTGTGGGATGTGTGGTTGTGTGGGGGTGTATGGGGGTGTGGGTGTGTGTGCGAGTGGTGTGTGTGTGTGTGTGGTGTGTGTGTGGGATGTGTGTGTGTGGTTGTGTGTGGGATGTGTGTTTGTGTGGGGGTGTATGGGGGGTGTGGGGGGGTGGTATGGGGTGTATGTAGTATGGTGTGTGTGGTGTGGTTGTGTGTAGTATGGTGTGTGTGGGGGGTGTGTGGGGGTGTGGTGTGTGTGGGGGTGGTATGGGGTGTATGTAGTATGGTGTGTGTGTGGTATGGTGTGTGTGAGATTTGTGGTGTGTGTGGTTGTGTGGGGGGTATAGGGGGTGTGGTATGGGGTGTATGTAGTATGGTGTGTGGTTGTGTGTAGTGTGGGGTGTGTGTGGTGTGGGGTGTGTGTGGGATATGTGGTGTGTGTGTGACGTGTGGTTGTGTGTGGTGTATGGGGGTGTGGGGGTGTGGTATGGGGGTGTATGTAGTATGGTGTGTGGTTGTGTGTGGTATGGTGTGGTGTGGGGGGTGTGGTGTGGTGTGGTGGGGTGGGGGTGTGGTATGGTGTGTAGTGTCTGTGGTATGGGGATGTGTGTAGTATGGTGTGTGTGGTGAGGTTGTATGTGGTATGGTGTGTGGTTGTGTGGGGTGTGTGTGTGTGTGTACATCCCGCTGAATGAGGGGCAAAAATATCTCAAAAATCAGCTGGGGCTGGGAAGGCGGCTGGGTGGTAGAGCGCTTGCCTGGCAAGCTCATGAGGCCCTGGGTTTGATCCTCAATACCACATACACAGAAAAAGCCAGAAGTGGCGCTGTGGCTCAAGTGGTGGAGTGCTAGCCTTGAGCTGAAGAGCTGAGGGACAGCGCCCAGGCCCAGAGTTCAAGCCCCAGGACTGGCAAAAAAAAAAAAATCAGTTGATAAACACTCTGGACACATTCACTGATGTTAGGAAGAAGGGTACAAGAACCAGAGGAAAAAAAAAAAAGAACCAGAGGAGAAGCCTGGGAAACACTTGTCTGCACCCACAAAACTTGGAGGGATCCCGTGGAAATGAGCCAGTACAAAGCAAGCTGAGCAGGAGGATTCTGGAGCGTGGCTGTCAGTGAAGCAGCCAGACACTGGCTGCAGGGAAGGGCTTCCCCAGAGCCCGCTGAAGGTGCTAGTTCTTCACCGCCCTGAGGCGGTGATCAGTCACCTGGAGATTTAAACTCCTGTCCTGCTGTGGAAAAAAATAGAAATTACTGGGTGGGGAGGCTCACACTGTAGTGCTAACTACAGAGGCTGAGATCTGAGGATTGTGGTGCAAAGCAAGCCTGGGCAGGAAAGTCCATGAGACCTTTATTTTTAAAAAGTTTTTGCCAGTCCTGGGGCTTGAACTCGGGGCCTCAAGGCTAGCACTCTACCACTGGAGCCACAGCGCCACCTCTGGCTTTTTCTGTGTACGTGGTACTGAGGAATGGAACCCAAGGCTTCATGAGCATGCTAGGCTAGGCGAACGCTCCGAGCCGCCTTCCCAGCCCTCTGGGAGACTCTTGGATCTCCAATGAACCACCAAAAAAAAAAAAAAAAAAAGCCGGCAGTGGCGCTGTGGGAGGCGCTGGCCTTGAGGGAAAAAGTTCGGGGACAGAGCCCAGGCCCTGGGTTCAAGCCCAGGACTGGCCAAGACAACAGGAACCCAACTTGGTTTAGCTTGCCTTTAGAAAAATTACAAGAAATGACAAGCTTAGTCTGTGATCAGTCGGTCCTGTGTGTGTGTGAGAGAGAGAGAGAGAAAGTGAGTGTGCGTGTGTTTGTGGGAAGGGGGATCGCTCCTGCCTTGGTCTCCACAGTGGCTAGACTCTGCGCATGCTCGCTGCAGGCTAGACGCCCTGCCAGGCCCTGTCCGGCTGCAGGTCAGGGCGCCTGGGGAAGGACGGCTTCTGGAGGCCTCAGGGCTCTGGCCTCTCCTGGCCCTGCCTGGGGCCCATGCCCTGAGGCTGAGCACCTGAACCCTCACAGCAGGGGACCCGGGCAGAGGCCAGTGAGCAGCCCCCCCCCCCAGCCGCAGCATTTCCCTGAGCTCTTCCTCTTCAGGAAGGCCCGCCCCTCCCTGTGGCCCAGGATGAGTGGGGCTTCCGGTGTGGGTTACTGGGGTGGGCAGAGGGAGGGGAGCATTCACCAGAGCTGGGGGGGCACCTCTGACCCCCGCTGAGGTTCTGCTCTCCCCGCAGACCGCCTGCCCGCAAGCCCGCGCCGGGGTCAGCGGGGTGAGGGCCCTCCCCCCCC